CCACTTCTATTTTGGATTCTCATTGGACCACAGAGATCCATATGAATGAGTTCCAAAGGCCTTTTGGTACTAACCATATTTTTGGACTTAAAGGAAATTCGAGTCTGTTTTCCTCTAACACAAGCCTCGCACACTTTGTCATACAGAAACTTAATGCAAGGAAGTCCTTCCACTAAATTCTTAGATCTTAGTTTATCAAGTAGAGAAAAGCTTGCATGGCCAAATCTTTTGTGCCATAAAAGAGGATCATCCTCAATAACACTAAGACATGTTAGACTGCTGTTAGGAACCTCGTTAAGATCCACAACATATGTGTTCCCTTTACGAGTTCCTTCTAAAATAATGTTCCCAGTGTTATTGTGGATGATTCTACACTTATTTGAAGTAAAGCTAACAGAATTACCTTTGTCACAAAACTGTGAAATACTTAACAAGTTGTGTTTGAGACCCTCGACTAAAAATACATTATCAATGGCATGGGAACGTGACCTTCCTACCTTTCCAATAGCAATTATATCACCTTTCATATTATCACCAAAAGCCACAGTTCCACCATAGTAGGCATCCAGTGATAGAAATCTAGATTTATCTCCAGTCATGTGCTTAGAACAACCAGTGTTGAGGTACCAAGTGTTGTTCCCCCTCACTGGAACCTGCAAGAAGAATTAAGCGTTAGAGTCAGGAACCTAGGTTTCCTTGGGTTCCTGTGTAACAGGAGTTGATTCATTTTTCTTGACCCAGATTTGTTCTACATGTTTGACATTCTTCTGAGTGCTTTGTTTTTTCTTAGGACACTTAACCTGATTATGTCCTGTATTGCCACATAAATAACAAACAATGCTACTAGGCAAGTTGACATACTTCTTTTCTTTCTGGAACTTCTTTTTAAAACCTAAACCTTCAGTTCTCTTGGTTTGAGCCTTAGTAATCCAATCAGGAACTCTATACTCTATTGGTTGATTACCTTTCCTAGCTCTCTCAAGTTCCCCCTCAAGACGTGCCTTATCCGTTTTTAAATCTACCAAATCATATTTTAATTTTTCAAAATTCGGATATTCAGAAAGTGGAGGAACTTCAGAGTTAGGAGTATCAACACTAAGTTTTAACAAAGACAATTCCACATTCAGAAGTATGTTATCATGTTTCAGATTTTCAATAGTCTCTTTTAAAATTTTATTATCATCAAACAGACTAAAGAACCTGTATTGAATGTCAAACTTCATGTTATCAACCCATTCACTGTTCTCTTTGTAAGTTACTAAAGCTTTATTACTTTGCTGTTTGGATCTATGTAATTCCTTTAAATCTTCTTGAATTTCCAAAACAGCATTTATTAGTTTCTCTTTAGATAAATGTTTTAATTCATTGTAAGAGAACCATACCTCAGACTCTAGCTCCTTTAGTTTGGCAGCTTCATTAGTTTTTGCCATTAGACACAAATGAGCAGTTTCTTCTAATGGTTGGTTCTCCTCTTCTCCTGAATCCGTGTCTCCCCAAGCAGCTAGCATGGCTTTCTTCACATTGTCCTTGGTGAAGTTAGGCTTATAGACTCTTGACTCTTTGGATTGCTCCTTGTCTTTTGTCTTTCCTTTCTCTCCATCCTGTACAGGACAATCCTTAATGAAGTGATCTTTTGATCCACACTTGAAACACGTTGTGTTTCTGGAACTTGTGTACTTCTTGTTCCTGTCGAACTTATTATTGTTCATCATCCTTTTAAATTTCCTTACTAGCATAACCATCTCTTCCTCATAAACTTCTGATTCTTCTGAGTCTTTAGCCTTGAGTGCAAGACTCTTACTTCTGGAACTTTCAGTATTGGAACTCAGATGAAGTTTATGAGTCATCAATGATCCAGCTAGTTGTTCCATATTGAACTTGGTGAAGTCCTTAGCTTCCTGCATAGCAGTTCCTTGGATCTCCAGCGTTCATCTTGTGGTAGGCTTCTTAAGATCTTCCTAGCCTGTTCATCAATAGGAATATGCCTGCTAAGGGAGTTCAGTTCATTAATAATATCATTGAATCTAATAAACATCTCTTCTATGGTTTCTTTAGATTGCATTTCAAACCTTTCATATCTAGACATCAATAAATCTATTTTAGAACGTTTTACCTCATTAGTACCTTCATGAGTTACCTGTAGAAAATCCCAAATTTGTTTAGCAGACTTGCATCCCATGATACGATTATGTTCATGAGGTCTTAGTCCACAGTGCAAATGCTTTATAGCTTAAGCATTCAGTTCAAGTTTCTGATAGTCTTCTTTATCATAATCAGAAATGGATTTAGAAACTACCTCATATTTGTCATTGGTTGCAGTTATTTCAAAATCACCAGTTTCAATAACACGCCAAACCTGGTAATTTTCAACCTTGATGAAGATCTCCATCCTGTTCTTCCAGTAGGCATAGAACTTACCATTGAACATAGGTGGACGTTAGGTTGAGTACCATTCTTCAAGTTTCTCCTTGTAATTCATCTCTCCAGGAACTTACTCAGCAAAGTTATCTGCTTGCACGTGAGAACCTCGCTCTGATACCAATTGTTAGTTGAGACGAACACTACAAGAGGGGGGGTGAATTGTAGGTGAGTTCCTAGGACTACTTTTTGCAAATATAAAACAGAATAAAATAGGAACTTGCAATGCACACAGGATTTTACGAGGAAACCTTCTAGTGCCCAACTAGAAGTAAACCTCGACCCTACCTTAGGGATTTCAAACACAAACAATCTTCACTATAATAGGGCAAACACCAAGTTACAACCTATTATACTCAAACCTCTACTCACAAGTTCCTGAATGAACTTGCTACAGAATAGGATTCTATCCTACCCAATCTAAGTCCCACACTTAGATTCCCTCGTACTACCTATGTACAAATCTTCTCAGCTTCTCACCAGAAGCTCTCTCTCTGTATGCAATGAATATCAAAACACTCTTACCCAAATAACCCCAACCAATTACAAGTATTGACACCTAGTATATGATAGGCAAGCTATGCATGAAACCCGAAACTAATATGACAAGATAATAAGCTTGGCAAACTTACACAATTAAAGCTCTATAAATTCTTCACACATCAACTCACAAAAACCTAAACTCCTTTTTACCTCTACTATTTATACAAGTATTACTCGTATAGAAAGTAGGTTTTCTTAAAGATAAATAAGTTAAACTTAACTTATCTTTATACACGGTTTTTAAGTAAATCATTCTTGAAGAAAATCTTTTCCGAAAAATAAGATAGAAAGATTGAGTTAAAACGCATAATATCTTTTTAACAAACTGATTTTAAGAAATAAACATTTATAGAAAATCTTTTTCGAATTCTATCTTTTATCTTTTCCGATTTTAATATATTTGCCAAGCTAACTTGCCACGCTTCTAATAGATTTCATGCATATCCTACTTAACATATTTAACAATGAATCTAGAAGATAAAATCTTAACTAAATCATTGTTGCGCTGCGCTTCTGTACTGGTAGGTTTACTTGGGCTCTACGCTTACTAAGTTCCACCAAAGATCTTAGTCAGCCATCTTCAAGTTCCTGTGAAGAAACGTTCCTGTTAAGGAACTCAGTTCCGGTAAGGGAACTCTTCTTCTGTTTCGAATAACCTTCTTGAATAAAGAACTCTTCAAGTCTTCTTAGTTCCAGTTACTTCTTCCATCTCCAAGACCAATTTCACCTAAACTAAACAAACACTTGAAAAACCTTTATTAAATGAGTTTGCTGTATTTTAAGTTCCTCATCATCAAAACCTTTAAACATCAACAGATATAGAGGGGCCCAACCATCGAATTTAATTTTTGGTGGTTGGGGATGTGAGTAAATGAAGAGAGTTGGGGGGAATTGGGGTAATAAATGGAGGGAGTCATTAGATTAGGGAATGTTATTAGATTTAGGTTAATGTAATTAGATTAGAATAAGGGTAAAGATTAAAAAAAAAATGTTAAGTACGGGTAAATCTGTAAATTATTATTTTTTTTTTACTAAAACTAGAATGAAAAATAGAAAGTTGCACATAACTCATAGCATCCCGAAATGGCAAAAGTTGCACAAAACAATTAACGGAGCTAGTACTTGACCACGACTAATCAACTGTTCAACTAGGTTAAGGTAAAAATCATTATAATTTGATATATTGAAAATGTCTTGCAAGATAAATCCAGTAACGTCTCACATACACTCCCACGAAATGTAAATCATGATTGTATTTGGTACGAGATTTGCTATTAATAGTCAAGATTATGTGTTAGGAAAATTTATCAACAAATACTAAAACAAAACATGTTAAGGTTGCTAACATCATCACTTCTCCAAATTGTTTACATGTCAGTATGTCACTCTCACATAAACTTTTTTTTTCCGCCAATTTGCTATAATGATGTCAGTAGTCTTATTTTTTAATTTTTTTTTATCAAATAAACCTTTCATATGCTTTACCCTTTGTCCCTACCAAATCCAATTATTTACAAGTATGTTAATATTTCAATGTTCTTTTTTACAAGTAATATGCTATAGTAGAAATTACTTAGCATGTGTACAATAAAAATATTTACAGAGTAGAAAACTTTCTTTATCCGTAATAAAAACAATTCTTATAATGTATTTGTTTACATACAATCGTGCATCACACGAAAACTAAACTAGTTTAATATATAATATAAAAGTTAAAATGATGTAATTATTTTTAAAAAAAAAGTGCGTAAAAAAAAAAAGATTATCACAACTCCACAAATAATACCATAATAACTTACGCAAGTTAATTAGCAAAAGTGTAGTCGTCGCACATTATAAATATCTACATCATTCGTTCTAAATTATTCTACACACAAGAAAATAAAATGAAGCAACAAACAAATACTTTGTATGTATCAATAATGCATGGCATAATCAAAGATATTCTCTTCTAATGGTAATAAACTAATAACACCACACTTTGTTTTTTTTCGAATGAAAAGGGCGAGATTATGTTTTTTTTTTTTTTTTTTTTTGAAAAAAAAAAATAAATGCAAATTGACGTAACTTAGTCTTAGAGTTTTGGAGAAAGATTCTTCTTTTTGAGAATGTGCTTTGTAAGACCACGTAATTGGATGTTCATGAAATAATCTTTCCAATCAATGCGATTCACATCGAAGTTAAAGATTTTCTTCTCTTCCGAAAACATTGCTTCAAACAAGTTTTGAGTATTCATGTTGTTGAACCTGAGCAAAGTGATCAATAAATAGTTAACATTTATGCAATTACGCAAATGAGCGACCTATTAATTATTTTAATGTTAAAGATGTAACAATAGAGATAATGGGATACATACATATTAGGGAGTAAGAGTATATTGTTATTGCTTCACATAATGAAAATGTATATGTAATAAGAAAAAAAATAGTTCTATACATGTCACATACAGAATAATGTTTTAAACATATATACTACCTCTGGTCCAATTTACTCGCAACAAAAGAAAATATTTTATGACTCACAAATAATACCCTTTTGTTGTGAGTAAATTGGACCGGAGGAAGTATTTTGCTTTTGTTTGTTACAAATTGTTTTTAATGTATCATCTTTGTTTACATCTTTGACTAAGGGCTTATTCACATTTACTGAATTGAGATGAACTGATTGGAGCTGAACGGAATTGAGCTGAAATGAATATTTTATGAGAGAAGAAAATTAAGAGCTGAATTGAACTAATCTAAACTGAACATAACTGAAATTAAGTAAATGTGAACATGCCCTAACCCCTTTTATAACTACCTTACATTTCTTACCCCACATTTTTGCTTACATTCACCTAGTATTTTTTTTTCACCAAAAAGGAAAAATATATATATATACATATATATCTTGATTTTTAGAGAGCCACAAGGGCGGGTGATGAGAATCGATCCCAAGATCACCTGAAATCAGAAGGGGAGCTCTAACCACTTGAGCTATCCCTCACTCTCCTATTACTATATACAAGTATATGATAGAACTAGGAGTATTATATGAAATAAAACCATTCCATGACATTCTACAACATAATATTTGAAAATAAATTATACATTAGTTCATCAAAGAAAATTAAAAAAGGCATTATATACTTCGTATATGTTTTTGAAACGTAAAATATGTAAATATTGTAAAAAAGCACGGAAATAGAAGATAAATTTGTTAGAATTTACCTTAGTCTAAGCATCAGTATAGGCTCATAGATAGCGGCTATGCGAACAATATGGCTATATAGCTTTTCATTAGAAGGCTTAGAATTCATCCCAGCCAAAATATATTCATCTAATGATGCGTAGAAATCCATCTCTTCAACTTTGATTTTATCACCTTTCGAATCTTTGAATGGATGCAATGCAAAGTAATTGCAACAATACTTGAAAAGGGTTTGGAGTTGGAGTGGTTTCACCATTGATGAAGCAAGGTGGTAAACATGTACTCCAAGTTTGCCTGAAATCGCATGGTTTGCAATGGCAACTACAATGGCATTTGCTAGTATGTCAACCGGTACCTAAAAATTGTCAATAGATATGTGTTGTTAGATGGGTATGTATGTTACGCTGACTCTTCATTTTAACTTATGTACTCTTATTATTCATATTTGGGTACGGCACTTGGACATGACAAGGCTATTTATTGACCAAAGATAATATAACTAGCAAAAATGTAGGGTTGCCAATGATATGAGAATTTTCCTATACTTATTATTTTATAATGAGTAAGAATTAGGAAATGGTTAAGATTTGACAAAATAAAACAAAAATAAAAATGGTGGAATAGCAACATATATGGGCCTGTTCACTGAGTTGAAATGAACTGATTGGAGCTGAGCTGAATTGAACTGAACTGATTTGAGCTGAACTGAACTGAACTAAATTGAACTAAGCTGAAATGAATATTTTATGAGAGAGGGAAATTAGGAGCTGAATTAAACTAAACTGATTGAAGCTGAACTGAACTGAACTGAATTGAAATGAAATTAAGTAAGTGATGAAGTGAATTACTATTTAAAATACTTACAATATCTATAATTCCATTAGGATCTGCCAAAATTCCTTGCATTTGTCCTTCTCCGTACGATAAGATTATTGGGTCCATCCCCCTACAATAGTTTTTTTTAGAATATTACATAAAGTAGTTTGATGTGCAATGTGGTGTAACATAAGAAATATGAAGGAGTTTGAATGTTTGATGTGCATTATGGTGCGAACTATATAATGAACAGATCAAGTATAATATGATTGTTTAATCAGTTTGTTCTAATTGAATTTCCTTGCACTAGTATGATTGGAAAATAATTATATTTTGTTTAGTGTTTCCTTGTTCTTAAAAGATCATGAGATAAATAAGTAAAAGAAAAAAAAAAAAAAAAATTCAAAATCATTTGTATGTACCTGTATTTCTCAATCCATCCAGCAAATGGCTCTTGAAGACTGTTTCCAATGAAACTCGGACGGATAATGACCGTCGGTAATTTATCTCCCATTGTGCTTACTATCATCTCTCCCATAACCTTCGTTAGTATATAAGCATTCGCATATCCATGCAGTTTGGTCCTATTTTTATAATTATACCAAAGTGTTAGCCAATACTTAGATATCTATATATTTTCATCATACTTTCAATTTTCTCATATTTTAAACAAATATTTAATCATAATCATGTATAATAATGATCAAACTATTGCGTTTACAGACGTGTCAATTAATCTAGAACGCATGTAGTATATATGAAAGTAAATTGAGACTAAATTTGACAATGAAATTAATGTTTTCTTTTCAAAGAGCCAAAGATTAAAAATAATAATAATAATAATTAAAAAAAAAAAAAAACAGGTACCTTCTCATGCCTAACTTGATCATCTCTCTAGGTAATTTACATTCTTGAATGCCAGAAGCTAATAAATCATCAACTATCTTTAATTCTGCTTTGATGTCTAGTTCTGCTGGTACATCTGAATTCGAGTTTACTGTCCTTAATTTGCTTTTTTCCATGACAATAGGGTTTTCATGAACAACTCCCACAGCTTTTCGGGTGACAAAAGCTATGATAATATGAAAAACAAAGTATTAGACAATTAATGGCCTGACCGCCTGAGGAAATATAAGTTCAAATGATTGTGAGTTTATTTAAATAGAGGTTGTTTACAACTAAGTTCAGAGTGGACGATATTGAGAGTGTGCAGGGTAAGTGACTGAACAAGTCCTCCAATTTTAAGGACCCCAAATTAAAAGACAGTGGTTGTGTTTGATGACTAGTTTATTTGAGCAAAATTAGCTTATTTGACCAACATTAGCTTATTGACCATTAAATAAGCTAATTCAAAGTGTTTGGTGAGAATCTTATTTAAAGAGCTTATTCCACTAAATAAGCTCTTTTTCAAAAAGCTCTATTTAGGAGCTTTTTCAATTAGCTTATTCAATTCTTATAGTGAAATGATACTTATACCCCGATTTAATTAAACAATCCTATATGAACTACCTACTCCACAATTAGTTTATTGGTCATTTCACATAATCAATCAACTTTAAACAATCAGCTATTTACCAAACACTTTTTTTTTTGCAATAAGCTAATAAAATAAGTTAGTCAAATCAGTTAACACAATTAGCTAGTTAAAATCAGTTAATACAATCAGTTTCAGCTTTTCACAGTATAATATTTTTGGATGAAAAAGGAAAAACTCTACTATACATTAATGGTCAAAGATATGCATTGGTTAATATTAGGGGTGTACAAAAAAACCCGACCCGATTTCCCGATAACCCGGTAAATACCCGATGGGAAATTTGGGGAAAAAACTATTTTTCCGGGACGGGTACCCGACCCGGGAAAATTGCTTGTTATCCGGGTCGGGACATGGGCCGCCCTATATGTTAGACGGGTACCCGCAGACCCGGTAAGTTGTTTTGTTATTTTTTTTTTAAATATATATACAGCTTTGCTAGGGTTTTTTTCATTTCACAACATCCACTTTCTTCTCTCTCCTTCATCTCCCCCTATCTCTCTCCTCCATCTTCTATGTCCATTTCTCTTTCTTCGTCCCTCTCCTCCGTCTCCGTCTTCGTCTCCTTCGTCGTCTCCCTTCATCTCTACCCTGTCCAGCTGTCCCTCTCCTTCATGTCTCCGTTTTTTTTCGTTCCCATCTTTCTTTCTCCGTCACGCTCTCTTCGTCCAGCAATCCGAAGCAACAACAACCCCAACAAAGGATCTTCGTCCAGCAACAACAAAGCAACAACAATTCTTAGCAAATCGAAGCAACATTGTGGTAGGTGCGGTGATGTGCTTGCTTCGATAAGGTGGCTGGCCATGACTTCTCATGCTCAGATCTACAAGATTACAAGTTTCCTATATATTAATGGAGTATACTTGTTAATTAGGGATGAATATATTTACCCAATTTAATCAGGGTTTTAGTGTTTTACAATTCAATAAGTAGTAAATTAATTTTTATTGTGTTTGGATTTGTATATTCAATTATTCATCAATAGATTTGATATTGTTGGGGTTAAATCAAAGTTTTTTTTTTACTTATTATGATATGTTATACAATTATTTGATTACTGAATTAAGGATAAAGATTATTATTGTATTTGATATGTTTTGCTACTAGATTATTTTAATTTCATGACTATTTATCAAAAATAAAATAAAATAAAAAGAGATTCGGGTACCCAATGTCCGGGTACCCGAAATATTCGGGTCGGGACATGGGACAAATTTTCAAGTACCCGAAACTCCGGGTACCCGGGTTTTCGGGTATCCGAAAACCCGGGTACCCGAATTTGAACACCCCTAGTTAATATGATGTAAATAAATAAAATAAAAGAATACATTTATTAAAAAATAGAAGAATTATTTCATTGCATTTCCTTACCCGTCGAAACATGTAAAAGAAGTAGGAGTTTCTTGCAATTCATTGCAAACGCAAGAAGTCTTGAAACTCCTCTCACATTCACATCAAGGAGCACATCATACCTGTAAAAGAAAGTAGTGTGTAAGTTTTGAGGGATAGAGGTGGCTTATGGGCGGTGGTGGCGGGTGTGTTTCGTGGTTGGGTAGAGGTGGTGTCGGCTTGGTGGTGGTTGGACGGTGGTGGAATCAACATTGGGGTGGTTTTGGTGCTTAGGTAGTGGTGTAGTGTTAACTAAGGATTAAGTTAGCTTAGTAATTGCATTTATAAAGGTTAAGAAATAATGAGGCGTAAATTTATGGATTAGCCATTTTAATGAAGATTAGCACACTAATTAGAGTTTAGAAAACTAAGGGCTTGTTCTCTTCCTATTATTTTCAGTTTAGTTCAATTCACTTCTTATCTTAATTTTCGTCTTTCATAAAATATTCAATTCAATTCAGTTCAATTTAGTTCAATTCAGCTCCAATAAGTTCAGTTCAGTTCAGCTCCAATAAGTTCAGTTCAGTTAGATCAACTACTTATCTCTCCTCCTTTCTCTCCCCAAAATCCTAGCCTCCATTGTTGAATTTTGAAGGGGCTTCCATCGATTTTAATCGGTGGAAAGCCCCAATCCTTGATTCTTTATAGTTTTTTTTAGGTTTATAATAATGCTTTCTCCTTTTGGGAGGAACTTTTCTCCCTCAAAAGAAAGGGTTTCCGATCTCATTCGAAAGACAAAGGTTTTTTGACCTCTTTTGAAATACAAGATTTATCTCTTCTTTTTTAGGGAGAAATTTCTTAGTTTTGAATCCATGGTAGTAGATCTAATGGATTTTCGTTGGTGAAAAAGTTATCAAGTTTTCGAATACGGAAAGATGAATCAGAAGGAAAACAACCTCACGGCTACAAAGGATCGTTAGATTGTCTCTCCAACAAGGCTGCAATTTTTAGGGATATAAGCGGGAGATGCTCCGCATTGCAAGATCTACTCGACGATCGTAGTTTTTATGAAGGAAAATTCTATTTAATTCAATATCTTATGTATTGTTAACGTCGAATCTCTATTGTAGATGTCGTATGACTTTTAATTGATGAAATATTTTTGCTATTAAAAAAAAATTAAAAAAATCAGTTCAGTTTAACTCAATTCAGTCAATCAGAATAGGCCCTAAGAGGTCCACTAAATAGAAATGCAAAACAACCATTAAATTGAATTTCCCCTTTTTAACATCAATTTTTATATTCACTTCTTTTATTTACTTATTTATTTATTTTGTTCATATCCATGCTATGGATAAAATAAACTTAAGTTCTTTTGACTCAGGTTAGCAGTTTAGGCACTTTAAAGGGGGTAGGGGGAGGGTTATAAAGAAATCCCCACGGACCTCACCTCAAAATACCTCTAATAGGGTTTGATTCCATAACCTTAAAGTTGGAAAATGTAAACCTTACCACTAGTCTAGTAGTATTAATACTAGTCTAGTAGTATTAATTAAATATTCGTATATAATAAATTGAATACAATACACATAAACATACATTATATTATATGAAAAAGAGAGCAAACCTGGCATGCCATCTTGTATCGGCAGCAACATTTACAATCACATCAATTTGACTCGCAATGACACCAGCCAAATCAGCATCCATACCTAAGCAAGGATGACCAGTAATATTTCCAACCACTGCAACCAATTTGTCCTTCATGAACTCCTCATATCTTTCTCCATGCTCATTTCTTAATCGGATGAATACTTCACAATCTATGATCTACAAACATGCAATATGTAAAACTTATGTGAACACTGGACCTACAATAGATCAATATCATATAAAAACATATTGAATTCACCTCCCTTTTATATTTTGATCAGAAAGTCAGTGATGTTAATAAGATGCATGTTCAATTGTTCACTATGATTAATACTGTGAATCAACCGATTAAAAAAAAAATCAATCAATTAAACCTTATTTTCATAAGTGAGGTCAGTACATGAACCAAATTTGATTAATACTGTGATATTTACGATTGTATATTAGTAATATTTAATCCAATAATATAGTATTATACATTAACTTATGTTTTTCTTGTAAAAAAAAAATAAAAACTTATATTTTTGAAGTTTATTACAAAATCAAAGTAAATTGTAACACTTAAAAATAAGACGTATAAAACTCACTTCAGTTTTCAATCTTTGCGCTGCAGCTTCCGCATTTTTGGCTCTTAACAAGAGGTAAGTCTTTTGCACTTCAGGAACTTCCCGCCAATAGCTTCTCAATAAACACTGAGGCCAATCACACAACAAGAACCCTTTAAGTGATTGCTTAATCTTAATTATCATACAAATTAGCTTTACTGGTGACTTTATGCTAGGGGTGTCAATTCGGATGATCGGATTAGATCTGATATGATCGGGTCGGGACGGGTAAATTTTTAAACTTAAATCATACTAAATTGTTATGTCCACGCGAGTCCAAATCTGAATCTAATATTTTCGGATCGGGTTAAATCGGGTGTACAAAATATAGAAAGTAACACCTCTACTTTATGCATGACATTTGAAGACTTTAAGTACTCAGTAACTATAAATCAATCCTTGACTTAAACTATTTGTTTTACCATTTAGTTGAGTTGACCTTTAAAATTGTATCAAGCACCAGCGCAATAAAATGATCAGAAATAATTTTTACTGAAATAAACTTGTTTTTATTGATTATTATTTGGAAAAATGGAATCTAAAAATCCAACCTTTGGCCGGTCTGACAATAAAAATCCAACCTTCCATTAATCTCAAAAAAATCCAACTAACCTTTGCATCCCACCTTCTTTGAAAGGTCCATTTGACCTTTAACTTGTTAAACCGGTTAAAAAGGATTTTTTTTTTTTTTTTTTAATTTCCTTCTCACTCCTCTTCTTTTCCTCTCCTCTCTAAACCACCACCACTTCCGCCACCACCTTAGCACCACGAAACCACCCAACACCACCACCACCTATCACCACCAGCCTATCACCACCACCTCATATCACCACGAAACCACCCAACACCACCATCTAGCACCACAAAACCACCCAACACCACCACCTAGTACCACGATACCACCCACCACCCACCACCCACCACTACAACCCACAACCCCAACTCAAATTAAACCCACAACCCCAACTCAAATTAAACCCACAACCCAAACTCAAACCCACAACCCCGAACTCAAACCCACAACCCAGAACCCCGAAATCGAATCCACAACCCCAAAAACGGGTCAGGGGTATTAGAAAACCAGGGTTGGGTTTAGGGTGGGGAGGGGAGGGGTGGAAACGGGTCAGGTTTAGGGTGGTTAGGGTTTAGATCGTAGGTGGTTTTGGTGGTTGGGGAGGTTGCGGCAAGGGGTGGGGGTGGGGGGAGATCGCCGGAATCCGGCGACCCCGATGGTGGGGCAGGTTGGGGTGGGGAAATTGCAGGGGAGTGGGGGAGGTGGCTGGTGGTTTTTTTTTTCTGTTTTTTTTTTTAATTTTGTTTTTTAATGATTAAAAAAATTATTGACCAATTAACGACTGACACGTGGCATATAACTTACAAAAAACGGTCATCAACAGGTAATGAATTTGTTGGAGAAGGGGGGGACAAAGGTTGGATTTTTCTGAGATTACTGAAAGTTTGGATTTTTATTGTCAGACCGGCCAAAGGTTGGATTTTTAGATTCCATTTTTCCTTATTATTTTTTCAAAGGTGAAATGAATAGAGCCTCACTCACAAAAGTGGTTTTATGAGTTATGATGGTAAAGCGGTCTCTAAATTTTACATATACTACCTCCGTTAACTATTATTTGCAACAAAGGGGTATTATTTGCGAGATATAAAATAGTCCTTTGTTGCAAATAATAGTTAACGGAGGTAGTATATTCAATAGTCTAATGAATATTGTCATATACTTTTTCTGTCTTTTTAGATGTATCAACTTTTGAATTTTACAGAATCCCAGTCAGCTTTTGGTGTAAAGAGAGATAGAGAAGGAAAAAAAAGGAAGGTACCATGATTTGAGAGAGATAGTCAATAAGGCTCTGTTCTCTTCACCTTATTTTTGCTGAACTGAAATTATTTTTACTGAACTGAAATTATTTTTGCTGAACTTAAATTATTTTTATTAAATTGAAATTAATTTACTGAGCTGAAATTATTTTTGCTGAACTGAAATTATTTTTTTACTGATTATATATATTATATTCTTCTTTTAGTTTACTGATTTTTACTGAACTGAAATTATTTTTGCTGAACTGAACTTATTTTTACTGAACTAAAATTAATTTTACTAAATATTATTTTTGTAAGGTGAAGAGAACATGGCCTAATAGAGAAGTTTTATTAAGTGAAATGAAAGTAATGTATCTAAATTATACAATTTTTTGCATACGACCTGTTGTACCATGCGACAAGAGTTACTTGATTTACTCGACCATGGGTTACTTGCGTTGTAGAGGAAATAATACATTAATTTAAAGCAATAAAGACAATTACTCCCTCCGTTTTGAAATATATTTGCTCAACTTTTTTTTATTTTTTAATTTTTTTTTGCGGCAGTTTTTAAATACTTAATTGCTCAATTTCCTTATTTGGAAAGATTTTATAATATTTAATTCATTTTTCTCAACTAGTGGAACCCAATTTTATTACTTTTACATTCTCTCCTCCAATTTACCTTCCACTAATTTCTATATTTTGTTACTTTATCTAATTTATGCTAAAACTTCGCGTATGGAGAAATGAAACAAGTATTTAAAAACGGAGGGAGTACAAAATTATACTTGTATACTTGTATAAGGCTAAGGCAATAATTACGTAATGTACAGCTAAGGGAATCAATTACAAAATCATGAGAAAATACAGCTTGTATACAAATACAAAAGATTCAATAGTACTTTGTATTTTTTTTTAATCTACACTAGACTAGACTCTAAACAAGTCAAAGATATGAAAAGATTGTTGTAACTTGTAAGGGTTATCTTGTGAAGGATCTACATCAGTCCATGATATATGGAGTACATATCAATAATAATGTACGTTTACTTTGCATATATCTTTTAACAGCAAATATTAGTTTAGTGGTAATAAGTTTGTTTCTTGTGGGATCAAACCTCAATAGAATTGAAGTATTTTGTGGTGGGGATTCTCTTACCCTATCTATTCCTAAAATGTCGAGCTCCCTAATCTAAAATTGAAAGAAGTTGTGAGAGGTTCCGATGTGATAGGACCCTTCTTCTTATAAAAAATAAAAAGTATAATATCCCTTCAACGGTCCAATGAATATACATCTACTGTATTTCAATAATAATATATGTGATCCTTTACTTTTGCATATATCTTTCGTGGGTCTAATGAAAATACATAAAATTTAAGCGATACTAAATACAAGTGCATATTATATACAGCTAAAGAGAATTTATAAGTTGTGGATCGGAGAAATAAGCAATACCTTTGCCCGTAAAGCCAGTTGATCCGATTATGAAGTAATTTTTGTGCTTAAGAAAATTGACAATTTGAATGCCTTGGTTAGCATTTGATTGGTTCGCCATTGTAATAAAGAAGAAATACTAAGAGAGACAAATAATTATATTGATTGAGCTTCAAGAGCAAAGTGTAATGAGTTGGTGTTGTAATATAAGCTTGAGAAAGTATTAATAATATCTACTCAACCCCTTCAAAAGAAACGTAAGCCCATCCTCTTTATTATTATAAGTATTTTATATATGTAAGTATACAATTAATTAATTCTTGTCAAAAAAGTATATAATCAATTTATTGCCTTTTGATTTTCTGCACATGTGAAGCAATTAGACAGCTGGGGTTATATTGAGTAGGAAAGATGACTGTCCATCTCGGTGCAAGATGGGACACTCGTAATTATTCAAAGCTTATTTATATTGATTCTATTCCACCAGGTTTTCTAACTTTGGCGGAACTTGATTTGAAATAAAATTTCTGCTAACGTGTTCACAAAAAAATCAAACTCATAAGTCATAAGTCTTATAACTAAACATATCTTTCCTCATTTAATGTTAATTAAATTTAATACAATGCATGATATCACATGTAAATTTGCGAAATAAATAAATGATTAAATTTCATTTATACATTTTATTTTAATTTCTTATAGTACATATTTCATTTGTCTATGTATATCATTTCTTTTTTTGTTTTTTTTTAATAAAAATAACCAGTTAGATTTCAAGTAAATTCATTATCAAATGTGATATTTTACGGAGTATGAGTTTTCCCAACACATAAAGTGAATAACAAGTTCCCTCTTAAAAAACCGAAAAAAAAATGTTTCCATTTTTCCTTATTTTAATTATTTTTTTCATCCAAAATATTCTTTTATTAAATTTGTTTTTTCTTATTGTACACGTATGCATGTCCAAATTGTAATAGATAGCAAATTTTAAATTATCTCACACATCGAGTGCATATAAGTCTAGTTATTAATTTTCATACGCCGAAAATAGTTAAAAAAAATTCGGAAATTTGGTTATTTTCGACCATTTTCCTTTAATTTTCTTATGTTTTTGTTATTGAATTCAATAAATCTATACTTTTCGAAGATATTAAGTACCCCTATAGGCTATAGTGGGTTTGAGTGTAGTAAGTGCCCCTATGATGGGGTTTTTTTTTTTTCCTTTCTAATTTTGTTGTTGTTTTTTTAGTTTAGTATGGTACAAGTTGTTTCATGGGTAAAAATTTGTGCAGGATTGAGAAAGAGGTTAATCGTTCAATTACAATCGGATGAATTAGACAAAAAAAAAATTCTTCACGACTACAAAAAATCGATAGACCCCCCCTCGTCGAAGAAGGATGTAAATCAAAGTGATATAAAAGAGGGTATGAATGTACGATTTGTAACAACGATCGTAGCTCTGCTGAAAGGATTTTTTGTTTGATTCAGTTTTTATGTATTTATCAAATTTAAATCTCTTTGTAGATGTCGAATGACTTTTTATTTATGAATCAATCTTTATTAAAAAAAAAAAAAGTCTAGTTATTTTTTGTAAAGGCCTAGTTATTATGTAAAAGAAGGAGGTAAGTGGGATGATGTCCAATTGAATGATTTAGGGTCTGTTCACATTTACTAAATTTCAGTTCATTTTGATTTAGCTCAGCTCCAATAAGTTCAGTTCAGCTCCAATTAGTTTAGTTTAGTTCAGTTCAGTTCCTAATTTCCTTCTCTCATAAAATATTCATTTCAGCTCAGTTCAGTTCAACTCCAATTAGTTCAGTTTAGTTTACTTCAGCTCCAATCAGTTCAGTTCACCTCAGTTTAGTAAATGTGAACAACCCTTAGGACTAATTATATATTTTTATTCAAAAACTTCCCAAAATAATAATTTTATCCGGCCTTACTCAAATTTCATGCATAATTTGTCAACTCTGACCTTTAAAAAAAAAATCAAATCCTACTAGACATGAAAATTTTAACATAGATCCTTGCCTGAATATTATGCATTTATCAATAAAAAAAAAATCATGCATCATTTGATGTCTACTTTGACCCTAATAAAATATTAAATCCCATTAATCATGCAAGATTATTTAAATATAGAATAAACACTAGACGTAATGATATAAAATCGTTTAAAAAATTAGGAAAATATCAAGCGAAAAATGGTCTAAATCCACAAAATTTATACATATACTAGTATAATGACTGATTGATTTTTTTTTTTAATTGCATTTTTCTTGTTTGATCTTTTGGAATATTTGATTACAATCATTTATTTATAAATGCTTTTACTTGTTTGACTAGCCAACTTGGCTAATTATTATAAATTCTTTTTTTTTTTGAACAAGTTATTTTTTTTTTGAACAAGAAATTATTATAATTTCTAGCATCATTTGATTAAGTGAGTTTTCAAACTGTGGAGTTATTGTTGAGTGATTGATTTGAAGTCATTGATTTTAAATTATTGCACACTTTACATGCTTATAAAAATAGTTTTTTTTATTTTTTATTTTTTTTATGTACTTTATTGGTTTTTTTTTTTGGAAAAATTGTATATAATAATCCCAACTTTACTCCATTTTCTATTAATAATCCCAACTTTACTCCATTTTCTATTAATAATCCCAATTTTGGGGGTTGTTTTCTTTCTTCAATCCCAAACTGATCAACAGAAGTCAACTACCTCCAATAGCAGGTTACATTACACGTGTCAGCTTGTCATTGATGCAAATAATAATAATAAAAAAAATTGAAAAACAGAAATCACCCAACCTTTCACCAGAACCCCCAAGCTCATCCACCACCCTGCACTCCGCCACTAGCGTATCCACGCCCACATCCTGAAAACACCAACCTCCCCTGAAATATCCCCTCGCTTCGGCAACTAACCTTCACCGCAACATCAACTTTTCCGACTCCGCTGATCCAACATCAAACCTTCGCTGCTCGGTCGAAACCCACTTTGAGTTCTTTTCGTAATTGCTTTCGCCGTCAGCCAGCCACCTGTGCTCCCATCCCGTCGCCCCTCCTCCTTTCTCCTTGAACGAACCACCCTCGTGAGCGCATTCCCCCTTCCCCATTGAACCACCACCCTTGTAAGCGTACTCCATGAGCATAATTCGAAGTTGTTGATGATATTGGAGGCTGAAATTAATGAAATTAGGTGTCGAATTGCTGGTTGTAGGTGGCGAATTGGTGATGAGGTGGAGATGGGTGCTGCGGCTGACGGTTTAGGTTGGTGGTGATGGTGGTTGTTTGGTGTTTAATTTATGGGTTGTGCGGTTTTTTGGGCTGAGCTGCATGTGTTTGTTGTTGCTATCAGTTATTTGTGGTTGTAGTGTGTGTGGAATAGGGCGGCTTCCCAGTAGAAGGAAGGGTGTGCGTTTTCCGATTGGCGGTGGGCTGGGGTTTCGGTGGACAATGTGGCTGGTGGGGTGGCCAGGGAGGAGGGGTGTTTTCGGATTTTTTTTTGTTTGTTTATTTTTTTTTTGACTAATTAATTCTTGACACGTGGCATTACTTAAACAAAAAAAAATTAACCAACTCAACAAGTAACCGGTAATAGGGATTGAAGAAAGAAAACAACCCCCAAAGTTAGGATTATTCTAAAATAATCCAAAGTAGGGATTATTAAAAGAAAATGGAGCAAAGTTGGGATGATTATTTACAAATTTTCCTTTTTTTAATTGCAACATTTCTCATTATATGTTTATCAATGTACTATTTTAATTTTTTATATTAAATAAATAAATAAAATAAAAATTTAAATTATAAAAGTATAATACTAGACGATGAATTGAATCTAAGGGAGTCTCACCTGATTATATTATTTATATTATTTTCTTAAATATTTTGTATATATCAATAAAATCGACTCGAGTATGCATAGATAAATAGTGCTAAAGTTTTTTTTTTTTTTTAGACAAAGGCTATAGAGAAGAAAAACACAAACTAGCTTTTCTGCATAAGACCTGCTACTATGTGAGCTGGTTAAACTAGTTCACGTTGGACTTTAAGACAAACTAGGAAGTCGATCTATGCTGCCATGAATCTTATTTCTGCCACAATGTTCCGTAGCTCCACTGGTGCTCTACCTGGATTGTTCAGCGCCTTGACCACCAGCTCACAGTCTGTTTTGAGTATTACATTTCGGTACTGATGCATCACATCTTTTAGTGCCTAATAGATAGCATAACCCTCAGCTTGTACTACATTCCGTGCTTGTATTTTCCTTGCTTGTCCATGGAGGTGACATCCTTGCTCTTCACTTTGCCACGATACAGTTGCACTCTAGCCTGGCTTATCCTTTCGTCTCATTTGTTTCCAAGCTACATCCACGATTCCACGATGATTGATATCATAGATCCTGTTAATGCGTACATGCACAAAAAATACAAATAGGGTGTACTATATTTGTTCCTGCTGTAAGGTGTTGCATTTTTTCCTCTTCTTGGAGTTTAGAAGCTTTGCTCCATCTCTTGGCATGAACCTGTGTTAGCTCCAGAATATTCCTCAGATTAACACTCATACCTGTAAAGATTACATCATTCCTGTGAAGCCAAATTGCTTGTAGAACCAGCAATATTGAAACTGAAAAATCCATGTCCCTTCCCAGCTTTAATGAGTAGGAAAATAAGTCCTTTAGCCATCTATTCAGATCAATGTGCGCATTTGCTATGGAACGCAACCCCAGGCTACCCCGCCAAATTCTTTGCACTACATTACAGCTCCTGAACAAAGGTGCCGCATTCTCCTCCTTTTTCCCACAGAGTACACAAAACTCATCAACCATCATTCCTCTCTTCCTTAAATTGCATCGAGTTGGAACTTGGAAGGTTATCATATATTATCCTCTATCCAAGGAGTAACAACTTAGGCCATGCTTTGATCTTCCAAAACTTTTTCCTGATTTGATCTTCTTCTAAGTCATGTGTGATTCCAAACTAACACTAGTAGCCTGATTTCAATGAATAGCACCGCTTTGGATCCAGCAACCAAACCCTGCAATCCTGCACTTCTGAAGGTAAGTAGATGCTCAAGACTTTTCTTGTGAAAGGAATGGTGTCCTTCGAACAAGTGTATTATTCCGATAGGGTTCAATTCGGAATTATTAGAAAGCTAATTATTCAGTAAGGTCAAGTGATCGGAATGCCTGGGTGGAGGGCGCTTCCGATCCGTAATATCAATGTA